GAAATCCTGTATCCATTAGCATTTATTTTTTATTTCCCCCTTTCCTACCAATAGTTCTAAGCAATCAGTAATCTAATTTCTTCCTCTATGAACTTACCTATTTTGGGCATTTCATACCAATTGAGTCATATAATATATGTCTTCTTGCTCTTGGCTGTATTTGTTATTTATTCTGTTGTATTTGACTTTAAAACAAACAATTCTCCTTTAAAATCAGTCTTTTGTCCTGAAATTATCAAAATATGAAATAGCCTTTGATTTTGAAACAGCAGTACCAATTCAATGCAAGTCTGACAACTTCTAAACCTAAGCTTTGTTTCTACTCCACCAAGAAGGTCTAAGTTTGATGAGAGGTATAATGTTTCACAACCTGTTTCCAAAGGGTGAAACTTTCTTGGCTTTACTTCTTTTTGTCATTGTATCCCCAAAGGAATTTTCCTTGAAAGTTGATTTTTGTTATGTTACAATTAATGTTCCCATTTCAACTCCCACATCTGTTTTTTCCTTTGCCTATGTATTTTAAACTTGCCAATCTTTAGTTTAAAGGCATTTGTTGATCTTACAAATTAATAATTTAAAATTATTGGGCTGGGGATGTGGCTCAAGCAGTAGCGCGCTTGCCTGGCATGCGTGCGGCCTGGGTTTGATCCTCAGCACCACATACAAACAAAGATGTTGTGTCTGCCGAAAACTAAAAAATAAATATTAAAAAATTTCTCTCTCTCTCTCTTTAAAAATAAAATAATTGGTGTGAATATAAGCAACTTTATTAGTACTTTATTAGTATTTCTGAATACGTAATAGAAAAGATCTATACTTAAGAAAATAGGTACTAGAATTTAAGCACTTAACAAATACTGAGGTTAAGTGAAATTCTCTAATTTAACAAATTCTTTGTTTTTAAAATGAGAAAACTGAAGTGGAGAAAGTCAATTGACTCACCTGTGATGACATAGTAAATAAGCGATGCAGCTAGAATTAGAAAGTACATAATAAAACTTAATTCTGCCTTATTGTTCGGTATAAAAGTAATTTTCTGCTGACTGTGGTGGTACATATCTATAGTCCCAGCTACTTTGGAGGCTAAGACAGGAAGATCACAAGTTTGAGGTTACCCTGGATAACTTACACCCTGCAGCAAAATAAGAAATAAAAAGGTATTGGGATGTAACTCAGTGGTAGAGCACTTGCCTACTATACCTAGAGGCCCTGGGTTTAATCCCTGTTGAACACACACACACACACACACACACACACACACACACACACACACACACCACACATCAGACATTTCCAATTCCTTAAGGATCCAACATTTCTTTTTGACATAAGTATTCTCCTTGTCTCTCATTATAAGTAAGGTCTATAAGTATTAGAAAGAGGGAAGGCAGTATGTTATAGGGCAGTACTTTTGAAACTTTAGCAGGCATTATAATCATCTACAGGCTTGTTAAAAGACAGATTGTGGGGCCTACAGCCTAGAGTCTCTGATTTGGGTCTGGAGTAATCCTTGAGAGTTTGCATTTCTAGCAATTTCCCAGGTGATACTGGTGGTACTGACCTGGGAACCCCACACTTTGAGAACCGAGGCTTAAAAGTAGACTTTGGCTTTGGCATTAGTCACTCTCAAGTTTAAATTGTCTCTATGACTAACTGCTCTATGATTTAGATCAAGCTTTTTAAGCAGTAAGGTTTCTTTTACTTTAAAATGGGGGTGATAATATTTATTTTACAGTGTTGTCATAAGACTTAAATGAGTTAATATAAAAAAATGTTTAATTGTCCTGCTTGGTACATAGGAAACACTAAATAGATGGTTGTTACTGTTACTTATAATAAACATGAGGATCAATCAGTGTTTATGAATCATAAATTCTGTCAGTGTTTTTGATTAGAGAGATTCTTTGTTTTGTCACTTTGAGATATTGCCAGGAGACGTACATAGTTACATATACAAGCACATCTCTCTTGACTTGTCTTCTTATTTATGGTAGATGTGTGCAGAGAAAGAGCAAAAGGGACAACAACAGATGGGAGGATGTGGAAAAATCAGAACCCTCTTATATTACTGATGGGAGTGTAAAATAGTACATCCACTTTGGAAAACAGTTGGCAGGTCCTAAAAAGGTAAACACACAGAGTTATGAAATTTATCCAGCAATTCTATTCCTAAAGGTATATAATCAAAAGAATTAAAAACATACTAATATAATAGCTTGAACACTAATGTTCACTGAGGAATTATTTTAAAACATCCTGAAAGTAGAAACAACCTAAATGTCCATCAACTGATGAATGGATAAACAATTGTGGTATATCCATACCATGGAATATCTGTTGAGCTCTAAAAAGGGATGAAGTCCTGATACATGTTACAGGATGCTTGAACCCTGAAAGCATACTGCTAAATGACAAATGCCAGACACAAAAGGCTATGTATTGTACAATTCCATTTATATGAAATGTCCAGAATAGGCAAATATATATACACAGAAAATAGATTATGAGACAGGAGGATCACAAGTTCAAAGCCAGCCTCAGCAAAAGCAAGGTGCTAAGCAACTCAGTGAGACCCTGTCTCTAAATAAAATACAAAATAGGGCTGGGGATGTGGCTCAGTGGTTGAGTGCTCCTGAGTTCAATCCCTAGTACCAAAAAATAAAATGGTAGATTAGTAGCTACCCAGGGAGTAGGGGGAAAGGGAATTGGGAGTGATTCTTATTGAGTATAGGTTTTCTTTTGGGGGGTGATGAAATGTTTGAAAATTAGTAACAATGGTTGCATATCCTTGTAAAGACACTTAAAAAAAAAAAAAAAGAAAGCCTGAGTTGTATCACTTAAAAGGGTAAATTTCATGGTCTATGAGTTATATCTCAAAAACACCAAAACCAAAACACACACCTATGTATGTGGGCATAAAGCATGAATGAGAAATAAACCTTTATTGGCATAAAAAATAATTCTGGGGAAGAGGAGGTGATTCATAGTGGATAGTCTATGCCACAAATAAACCATTCTAAGCCCTGTAAGTTTTACAAAAATGAAAACCTATTTAGCATCATGGAGCCAATCATTCATCATGAAAAACATTTACTTACAACAATCAAGCTTGAGGAACCAGTGTCCTAGAGAAGATAAATCCTAAGCTTCACTATACATAGGAATCACTGGAAAATTTGTTGGAAGATTCCTGAGCCCCATTCCTGAGGCTTTGGGTATAGCCTGAGAATTGGTATTCCTGACAGTCAGCTCCAGGGGGCTTCTGATCTGAGAGGCTGGAGAACTAAATTCTGAATAGCATCTTCATAGATTAGACAAATTCTGCGAATTTTGTACCATGTGAAGTTTATCTCAATACAGATGCTAAAAATTGCTATAGAAATTGCTGAAATGTGAGTCTTAATGGTTTTGTTAATGAAAAGACAATGTACTATAAAGGCAATCTGTTTGATTATTAATTTCTTCATTTGTAAAATGAGTCACTTTCTCTCAGTGTATTTAGTGAGTACCATCTAGGGTGTGGTATGAAAATGAGGTTATTTATTCTTTTCTTTTTGATACTGAGGATTGAACCCAGGGATGCTTTACCACTGAGCTACACCCCAAGTTTTATTTATTTGTTTTTTAGTTTTGAGACAGGATCTCAATAAGTTGCTGGGGCCTTGGTAACTTGATGAGGATAGCCTTGAACTTGTAACCCTCTTGCCTCAGCCTCCCAAATTGCTGGGATTACAGGTGTGTGGCACAATGCCTGACTGGGGTTTTGTATTCTTTTCCAAATTGTGACCTATATAAGAATGTGTTACCCTAAAAAAAAAATGAAAAAGAAAAAAGGAAAGTCTATGACTAGTTAAGTTTGAGAGACTCTAAGTTAAATAATGCATATTCCAGATTGTTTAAACTATATAATAAATGTATCTTTTTTATTTTTGCTGAGGATCAAATGGAGGGCCTCACATACACCAGGCAAGAGCTTTACCACTGAACTACACCCTCAGGATATTACTATTGACTTGAACACTATCATAAGTTTATATGTATAAAATCAATTGAATATGAGACATTTATTCTAATTTTTGTAGTAGACTTCTGGAGTTACAGAGATCCTAGTGGAATGAATAAATAAAATTTGAATATTGTGAGACTAACAATGTTAGTATTGTTATTTTGTTTCAGCCTCATTATATTCTACTTGATTTATTATTGACCTATTTATTTGAAAACTTATTGACCAAAAAGATCTTTACCAAATGATTATTGGTTGTGACAGAATAATTTAATAAGGTTAAAAGAATATTTGTGGTTAGTTATTTATCTCTCTTAATCAACAAATGTTCCTAGAGCAATTTATTTTTAAAATTAGGTTGAAACTAAATTAAGCTATACAGAAATAATTTTGGCTCCTAATATTTTAATTGGGGAAAGTGATTTTATTCCTTCTTTTCTCACTTTGAGCTGTTTTCAAAAAAAAAAAAATTGGGTTCCTCATTACCATCTTTACTTGGAGTTTTTTTTTTTAATAATAAGCCAAATGTTTTTTTCTGTAGTTTGAACTTTAAATTTTTTGTCCTATCTTTCTAATTTTGACTAAAAATATCTCTCCCCTGATTTTCTTTAGTAATCTATTTTAAGTATTATTTTTGACAAGTTATAATCTATTTTTTAAAAATATTTATTTTTTCAAATAAAGAGATCTTTCTTTTTCTTAAAAAAAAAATAAAAATATTTATTTTTTAATTGTAGGTGGACACACAATCTTTATTTCATTTTTATGTGATGCTGAGGATCGAATCCAGTGCCTCACATGTGCTAGGCGAGCACGCTACCACAGAGCCACAAGCCCAGCCCAAGTTACAATCTATTTTTATTCCTTTTCTAGAATTTTTTTGTTGTATTAATAAGTCTTTCAGATTGAATGTTATTAATGTGACATTGGGAATTCCATATGTAGTTTTAAAACACCCTTTTAGGACCTGACTATAACTCTTTCTGTATTTCAGATGAGGTGGAGGACCAGCCTACCACAGTATTATTTTCTCTCAGCTACATGTCTACTAATCACTCTTGAAGCTGTCCCTATAGACATCGACAAGACAAAAGTACAAAACACTCAACCTGTGGAAAGTGCAAAGATAGAACCACCAGTAAGTGAAGTGGGTGGAATTATAACTAAATTAATTATATCTAACTGAAGTAAAATGGAAACATTATAACTAAAATATTGCAAATATTCATTACTTGTAAAATTGGACCTTTAGGCTGTATTTCTGAAATAGCAATAAAAAGAGTATGTGACAGGCATAGGCTGTTTAACATTAGCCAGTGTTTATTTAATGCAATTAGTACATAGAGGAATTAATCAATACATTTCAATGTAGAACTAACTAGCTAAGAAAATACTGTTATATTCAAAGGAGAGACAGATGGCAATGAGAAGAAACCAGTTCATATTACTGGTTAAATCTTCCTTGTTTAAACCATATAATAAATGTATCTTTATGTTATAATAACATGATATTGGTTCAGATACAAAAGTCTAAGAAATTCAGCTTTTTAACCTTAATAATTAAAACTATCAGAATAGATATTTCTTAGTGCCATTTTGCTGGAAATTGCTTCTTAAAGATTGATATCTTTAAGATGAGCACACTTGTACATGCCTGGAATCCCAGGAGGATTGCAAGTTCAAGGCCAGCCTCAGCAACTTAATGAGGGCTTAAGCAATTTAGTGGGACCCTGTCTCAAAATAGAAAATAAAAAAGTGGTATGGATGTAGCTCAGTGATAGTGCATCCCTGGGTTAAATCCCCATTCCCCCTGCCACTCCAGAAAAAAAAAAGATTGATTCAAACATGGAAAAACTTTCAGAAGCATTACCATTTGTTTTTTAATTTGAAGGATACTGGACTTTATTATGATGAATATCTTAAGCAGGTGATTGATGTGCTGGAAACAGATAAACATTTCAGAGAAAAGCTCCAGAAAGCAGACATAGAAGAAATAAAGGTAAATGTAACTAAATACTTATTTAAAAAACATTTAAGCATATCAGACTCTGAGCTAAATGCTGGGGATACAAAGATGAGACTTTTCCTAGACCTTAAGGAACACTTAGGGGAAAATCACATCCAGAAACAGATTATCTAGATGGATAGATGGATAAATGGATGTTGCATTATATAGAGGTAGAGGACAGACACATAATCCAATATGAAGCAGTGGGGAAAGGCCAGAAGTCATTCTTGGTAGATAGTATATATGCCAGAAATCAAAGAAATACCTGGAAAAAAGACAGACTGGACGGTATCCTAGGCAAAAGCACAAGGGTACAAAGACAAGAAGTACCTAGAAAAATGGAAGTAGTACCTATTCCTGAATCCCAGAGTGGGATATGGAATCCATGAATGGCCAAAATATGAAGTTGGAAATAGTCATGGGTCAGATCTTGTATATCAGATGAAGGGGCTTGGATCATGACTTGAGGATAGCCGGAAGCTATTCAAAGGTGTAAGACAGGACCCCCTCCCCCCACTCCGGGGGACATGGTCCTTGGTCATGTGCAGAGAGCCCTTCCTCCTGGGAAATGGGGTGTGGCTGGATTGCTAGACTTACAAGCGCTCACTTCAGTTCATTTTTCCGTTTGTGGGTAACATGGTGCTGAACAATTGATAAAGGGCTTGCTTCTGGGTTGGGGTTTTCTGTATAGGAAAGCAGCTTTCTCGCTTTCATCTATTGAAAGTCAACCTCTTAACATAAGGATTTGAAAAATAAAAGAATGAAACCCTATATGCAAATGTTATGCTATTTGAATAAGAGATTTAAAAATCCAAGGATTTTGGTATCCATTTAGGTCCTGGAGTCAGTCCCCCATGGATACTAAGGAAGAACTGTCCTGTTTTCTTTATTCATCCATTAGTTGATGAACATTTGAATTGTTTATATTTCTTTTGGTTCACATGAATAATGATTCTATGAACATTTATGTTCAAGTTATTGTGTTAATATGTTTTCAATTCTCTTATGTTTACCTAGGATTAGAATTGATGGCTCATATGATAACTCTGCTTTTAATTTTTTGAGGACCTTCCAGACTTATTTTCCAAAGTGGCTACACCATTTTACAGTTCAATTTTTTGAGTTTCTACTTTGTGCTTTAAATATACTTTCCTAAATTATGTGATTTTTTTAGACATATTGATTTTTAGAATTACAAACTGAATCTCTTCTGAGATGCTTTTTGATTATAATTAGGTGAGTTTATCTCAACTAATCAAAGTGTTTATCACTAATTATTATAACCCTTTTTAAAATATGTTACATATGGTCTAAAAACTGAATGTAATAGATAAAGCTAATTTATTAATTTTGTTGATAGAGTGGGAGGCTAAGCAAAGAGCTGGATTTAGTAAGTCACCATGTGAGGACAAAACTTGATGAACTGAAAAGGCAAGAAGTAGGAAGGTTAAGAATGCTAATTAAAGCTAAATTGGATTCTCTTCAAGGTAAGTGTTAGAAGGTAGGAAAATTTCAGTATTTGGTTGTTGAGGTCAGTTTACATGAGACATGTCATGTTCTTCTTGTCAAAATTATATGTATTGATTTGATATCTCATAATTTTTAAGATTTAATTTAATTTTTTGAATAGGTAGTATATCATTCAAAAAATTCAAATGAAGACCCATGCAGTGGTACATACTATAATCCCTGCTATTTGGGAGTTTGAGGCAGGAGGATTATAAATGCAGCCAGCCTTTTCAATTTAGCCATACCCTTTCACAAAATAATTTTTTTAAAAGAAAGGGCTGGGATGTGGAGCAGTGGTAGAACACTTGTAAGGCACTGGGTTCAATTCCCAGGACCACAAAAACAAATAAATATGAAAATTCAAATTATTAGCTTTAAATTATTTTATCAATAGAAAGAACAAAAAGTAATATATTAAGCCACTGACTTAAAAGAAGAGAAGCATCACATTCCACCTCCCATGCTCCCCCTCCCCCACCCCACTGTGAGTCACTTTATATCAGAGAAAATATTTGGCATTTGTTTTTTTGGGATTGACTAACTTCACTTGCCATTCATTATCTTCTCCAATGCCATCCATTTACCTGCAAATGCCATGATTTTATTCTCTTTTATTGATGAGTAATATTCCATTGTGTATATATGCCACATTTTTTTTTTTATCCATTCACCTACTGAAGGGCATCTAGGTTGGTTCCACAGTTTAGCTATTGTGAATTGTGCTGCTATAAACATTGATGTGGCTGTGTCCCTGTAGTATGCTGTTTTTAAATCTTTTGGGTATAGATCGAAGAGAGGGATAGCTGGGTCAAATGTGGTTCCATTCCCAGTTTTCCAAGGAATCTCCATACTGCTTTCCATATTGGCTTCAACAATTTGCAGTCCCACCAGCAATGTGTGAGTGTACCTTTTTCCCCACATCCTCGCCAACACTTATTGCTGTTTGTCTTCTTAATAGCTGCCATTCCGACTGGAGTGAGATGATATCTTAGAGGAGTTTTGATTTGCATTTCTCTAATTGCTAGAGATGATGAACATTTTTTCATATATTTATTGATTGTATATCCTCTTCTGAGAAGTGTCTCTTCAGATCATTGGCCCATTTATTGATTGGGTTTTTTTGTTGTTGTTGTTGTTTAGCTTTTTGAGTTCTTTATATATCCTAGAGATTAGTGCTGTATCTGATGGGGTAAAAATTTGCTCCCAAGATGTAGGCTCTCTATTCATCTCACAGATTGTTTCTTTTGCCGAGAAGAAACTTTTTAGTTTGAATCCATCCCATTTATTGATTCTTGCTTTTAATTCTTGTGCTATATAATATTGTCTTATTAAAGAAGTTGGGGCCTAATCCCACATGATGAAGATTAGGCCTACTTTTTCTTCTGTTAGATGCAGCATCTGTGGTTTAATTCCCAGGTCCTTGATCCACTTAAGTTTTGTGCATGGTGAGAGACAGGGCTTTAATTTCATTTTGTTGCATATAGATTTCCAGTTTTCCCATTACCATTTTGTTGAAGAGGCTATGTTTTCTCCAATGCATGTTTTTCGTACCTTTGTCTAATATAAGGTAATTGTAATTTTGTGGGTTAGTCTCTGTGTCCTCTATTCTGTACCATTGGTCTACCAGTCTGTTTTGGTGCCAATACCATGCTGTTTTTGTTACTATTGCTCTGTAGTATAGTTTAAGGTCTGGTATAGGGATGCCACCTGCTTCACTCTTCCTGCTAAGGATTACTTTAGCTATTCTGGGTCTCTTATTTTTCCAGATGAATTTCATGATTGCTTTTTTTCTATTTCTATGAGGAATGCCATTGGTATTTTGATCGGAATTGCATTAAATCTGTATAGTGCTTTTGATAGTATGGTCATTTTGATAATATTAATTCTGCCTATCCAAGAGCACGGTAGATCTTTCCATCTTCTAAGGTCTTTGATTTCTTTTTTTAGGATTCTATAATTTTCATTGTATAGATCTTTCACTTCTTTTGTTGATTCCCAAGTATTTTACTTTTTTTGAGGCTATTGTAAATGGGGTAGTTTTCCTCATTTCCCTCTCAGAGAATTTGTCACTCATACACAGAAATGCCTTTGATTTAGCGGTGGGTGTTGATTTTATATCTTGCTACTTTGCTGAATTCATTTATTAGTTCTGGAAGTTTTCTGGTGGAGCTTTTTGGGTCTTCTGTAGAATCATATCGTCAGCAAATAGTGCTAATTTAAATTCTTATTTTCCTATATGTATCCCTTTAATTTCTTTCGTCTGTCTAATTGCTCTGTCCAGTGTTTCAAGAACTATGTTAAATAGAAGTGGTGAAAGAGGGCATCCCTATCCTGTTCCAGTTGATGGACATCATTATCCAAAGTACATGTATGAAGACATGAATTGATGTGAACATACTTTATATACAACCAGAGATGTGAAAAATTATGCTCTATATATGTAACAAGAAATGTAATGCAAAAAAAAAAAAATAAAGAGGAAGAGCAACATCAAAGGAAACCAAAAGAAAATCTAATTAGAATAATGTCACATATGGAATAGAACAATTGTCAGAGAGCTAACCCTACAAAAATCACCAGGCCCTCATGGGCACCGTGGTGCATGCCTGTAATCCCAGTGACTCTAGAGGCGAGACAGGAGGGTTGCAAGTTTGAGCAATTTTGTAAGACCCTATCTCAAATGAAAAATAAAAAGAACTGGGGATGTTGCTCAGTGTTAAAACTTGCCTAGGTTCAATCCCTAGTACTAAAAAACAAAAAAACAAACAAAAAATAACTATACAGTTTCATAAAGGAATTCAAACCATTAAAAATCACATTATCAATGCTCTCTAAACTATTGTTGAGCACCAAAAAAGAAAGCTTCCATATTCTTGTTCTGTATTGATACCAAAACCAAAGTTATTGTATCACAAAAATAAAATCTTGGGCTGGGGATAAAGCTCAGTTGGAAGAGTGCTTGCCTCGAATGCACAAGGCCCTGGTTTAATTCCCAGCACCATAAAAAATGAAAACCCCTAATCTTTTCTTTCTTTTAGTTTTGTGGCACGGATGATCAAATCCAGGGCCTGTGTAAGTGAGGAAAATGCTTCACCACTGAGGTATACCCTAAGCTCAATAACATAGTCTTACAGCAAGTAAATTTATTTTAGGAATGCAAATTTGACTTACTATTAGGAAATCTAATACTATAAACCATTTGAATGAACCTAAAGAGAAAAAAAATGTTTAAAATATTGATGAAGCTATTCTGTTTTGCATCAAAATATGTGTATATGAGTCAAATATTTAAATGTAAAAAAATAAAATTTCAAAAGTAGTAGGTGACAAAATAGGTGAATTTCATTTATTTTCTCAGAATGGCCTTTCTAATTATGAGTCAAAATCAGAGGGCTAGATTTGGCCAATTCGAGATCCTTCAAGCTGGTTCATGTGTCCTGTAACATGCCCCCATATGTTGGTTGTGCTCTTCTGGTGGTTGATTGTGGTTAATAAACACATTTGTCTGTGTGTGTGTGTGCTACATCCCCAGTCTGATTTGTTTATTTATTTATATAGGGTCTCACTGAATTGCCAAGGCTAACCTTGAACTTGTAATCCTCAGACCCCAGCCTCCCAAGTTGCTGAGATTACCGGTGTGTGCCACCACACCTGGCTTGGAATAGTGGTTTATAAACTTAAGATTGCATAAGAGTCACTTGGCAAGCTTGTTAAAAATACAGAGATTCTGATGTGACTGAGGAAATTTATGAATTTTCTCATTGATTCATAATTTATGAGTTAAAATTTCTGATAATTTAAAGAAGAACTTACAGGATTTTTTGGGGGAGGTGATTTTTGAAGTAGGTATTGCATTCACATGGTTTAAAATTAGAAAGCATAAGAAAGTACAGAGTAGCAATCTACCTGGTATTTTTGTTCCCTATAACTTCCTATTGTCCTCTAATACCGTCCTTGTCCTTGAGGTTCTTTATTCTTACAGAAACAAACATAAATAAAAGTAAGTTTATTTATTTAACCATACTGGGGATTTAACTCAGGGTACTGTGCACACTAGGCCAGTGCTTTACTGCTGTGATATATCCCTTTTTAAAATATTTTATTTTTGAGCCAGTGTCTTGCTAAATTGCTCAGTTTATCCTTAAACTTGTGATTCTACTGCCTCAGTCTTCTGGAATTATAGGCATTCCCACTGTACCTGGATAAAAGTTCTTTTTATATAAAAGATAGCAGACAGGGATTTGGAGCTCAATGGTAGAGTGCTTGCCAAGCATATAAGAAGCCCTGGGTTTGATCCCCAGCATCACATAAATAAACAAACCAAAAAACCCCCAAAGATGGCATACAGTACACATTTTGTGTACTATTTTCCTTTTTTGAAACATTTTGAAGATATTTCTGTTTTAGTACATGGAGACCATCTTTACTTTTTTTTTTTTTTTTAACAGCTACATAGAATTTCATTATATGGATACATTTAACCAGGCCTGTTATTTTATTTTATTTTTTGTAGCACTGGGGATTGAACCTAGGGTCTGGGCAAATACTCTACTACTAAGCTACATCCTTAGCCTTTCTTTTTTTTTTTTTATGTTGAGAAAGAGTCTCACTGAATTTCCCAGCCTCAGCCTTCTGAGTGGTGGGATTACAGGTGTGGACCATCACACCTGGCACCAGGTCCCTATTGATGGACATGTGGGTTATTTCTAGTGATTAATCTTGTATGTTCCATATAAGATATCTGTAGGATAATTTTCCCACAGTGAAATAGCTAAATAAAAAGATATGTATGTTTGTAATTTTTGTAATTTTTGATAGCTGTTGCCTCCATGGAAGTTGAGCCAGTATATATATCCACTAGCAATAATTCTGAATTTTGCAGTTCTGTTAGATGGTTTATTTTATTTTTTATTTAGTTGTAGATGGACACAATATCTTTATTTTATTTATTTATTTTTTTATGTGGTGCTGAGGATCGAACCCAAGGCCTCACACATGCAAGGCGAGCACTCTACCGCTGAGCCATAACCCAAGCTCCTGTTATATGGTTTAATAGTGTAGTTTAAGTGTGTATTTCTCTTATTTTGAGTGAGGTTAGGCATCTTTTCATGTTTCACTGTCTGGCTATATTTTTTTAGGGGTAAGTCCTTTAACAAATTTCTTCTTTATGAGTAAAACTCCTAATACAGTGCCATACTAGAGATTCAGTGAAAGCTTGACTGAACTACATCTTTACTTTCTGACATAACAATATGTTCCAGGTTTATTTTTTACTTACCCTTTTCTAAGCCCTAAATCAGCCATTTCTCTGAGGAGCCCTGTTTTCCTCCCTACCTCCACTACTGGGAATTGAATCCAGGGGCACTCCTCCACGGAACTACACCCCCCCCCTTTTTTTTGAGACAGGGTCTTGCTAAGTTGCCTAGGCTAGCCTTGAACTTGTGATCCTCATGTCTTAGCTTTCCAAGCTGCTAGGATTACAGGAGTGCACTGCTGTGTCTGGTGCCCTGGTTCTTTTAAATGGGGAATAATATTATAGATCAAAGCCCAGCAATAGTATTTTCCTTATTACTGGAATGTATTTTTCTTGTACTTTCATCAGATGTAGGAAATATATACGTCTCCACACGCATGCATATACATGTGAAACAAATGCAATATACATGTTGCATGTACATATTTTAGAAATCCTGAGTTCACATATAGTACTAATTCCTATCCATTTCACAGACTTTTTTCATGTATTTGTATATTCCTTCTTCCTAAGTGAAAACCCTGATTTCCAACGTCAATACATGACTTAATCAGTTATACAATTGAAATAATCCAGAGTCACTTTACCAGTTCATTTTGTAACTTGTCTTTAAAAATTTCTTTCAAAGAATACATTTGTTGTTTCTTTAAAAATGTCATAATTCGAATGAATTTACTTAAATTTTTATTGCTCTACAATTGTCTTCAGAAATGCTACTTAGATCTTTGAGGGTCTTATACTGGAGTTTACCTGATTTTAAATAAGGTATATCTGATAGTTTCAAAATAATCAAAAAGGTTTTTGCTGTTAATTATGCTGATAGTCAATAGGCTTTCTACATAGAACTTTAAAATATGCATATTAAATTGTATCCTATTTAGATTCATTACCTTTGTCTAGAATAACAATATGTGTAATATTCTAAAAATGGATACGAGCCCTTATTCTGAAAATTTGAAATTTTCTTATAAAATTCTGTAATAATAAATGTGAATGTATTTTTCTTATATCATTTATGTTAATGTTTCTAGCAACTGGTAATGGATCATTTACAGTTTTCTTATTTTCTTTCAGATATAGGCATGGACCACCAAGCTCTTCTAAAACAATTTGATCATCTAAACCATGTGAATCCTGACAAGTTTGAATCCACAGATTTAGATATGCTAATCAAAGCGGTGAGAATAATTCCAAAAAGCATTGTTCTTATTGTACATTTGAGGTTTTGTAATTTGGCAAATAAACCCAATGAAGCAGAAATAAAACTTTTTTTTTTTTTTTTTTGGTATTGGGGATTGAACCCTGGGCCATCTGAGCTACATCCCCAGCTCTTTTTAGTTTTTGAGACAGGGTCTCACTAAGTTACTTAGAGTCTCGCTAATTTGCTGAGGCTGGCTTTAAACTTACAATCCTCCTGCCTAGTCTCCTACATTGATGGGATTACAGGCATGCACCACTGTGCCAGTGAAATAAAACATTTATATACTTGCTAAAATATCTATCTTTAAAGGGAGGTAGCTTAATCTTGATCATTGCAGGTATTAATGTGGACATGCAGGTTTATAATCACTTATCCACAGTTTCAAAATTCAAAAACCTATAAAGACTGAAACCTGGCTTGAACTAACCAATTATAGTAAATGTTATTTGAAGTTTTTTATTTAGTCTATTTATAGATTTTTGTTAAAGAAATACTAATATTTTTGATTACAGACATTGTAGGATGTCTTATAATGTGGTATATGTGTCATATTCCCTGTCTAAAACTTGGAAAGTTATAAAACACATCTGGCCTCAGGGATTTTAGATGAGAATTTATAGACCTCTCATGTATAAAAGAGTTACCAAACTTGATGTTCTAGTCTGGCAGTTATTAGATTTAGTGAAATGGTTAGAAACCATTCTAGTTTTCTATACCATACAGATTGATACAGTCCGTTCAGTTTTTTTTAAAAAAATCAACATATATTTCTTGCTTATGAGAATTTTCTAAAATTGAAGCTAGCTTTGAATTCTTAGTTTCTTTGAACACTTACATTCCCTGGTAATAATACCCACTCCAGTAAAATGGTAGAATTTAAAAAGAGTAGTCCAGTCATTTTTTGCTTTCCTATACTACCTTCTGTTAGTGTGCTATATTTAAGAATGGCTTTGTTTATACTTTTCAAATACATTTCTTTATTTTTTTAAGGCAACAAGTGATCTGGAACACTATGACAAGACTCGGCATGAAGAATTTAAAAAATATGAAATGATGAAGGAACATGAACGGAGAGAATATTTAAAAACACTGAATGAAGAAAAGAGAAAAGAAGAAGAATCTAAATTTGAAGAAATGAAGAAAAAGCATGAAAATCATCCAAAAGTTAATCATCCAGTAAGAATTGTGACTTTATGAAACCATATTTATTTGTTTATTTATTTTTTGGGTACCAGGGATTGAAGTCAGGGATACCCGTCCACTCAGCCACATCCCCAGCCATATTTTGTATTTTATTTAGAGACAGGATCTCAATGAGTTGCTTACCACCCTGCTTTTGCTGAGGCTGGCTTTGAACTCACCATCTTCCTGCCTCAGCCTCCTGAGCAGTTGGGATTACAGGCAGGCTATTTGTTTAATTTTAATGTATATATAATATATATTTAGTTGTAGATTGACACAATACATTTAGTTTATTTATTTATCTTTATGTGGTACTTAAGATTGAACCCAGTGCCTGAGTTACTACTGCAGCCCATGAAACCATATTTTGATGAAGATTATTCTTTATATCAGATAGCAGAATTTTATCATAAGTTGTTAGTACTTAAATCTTGACTCTCAATTCTGCAAAATTCTTCAAACTTATATTTTATTTTGAATCTATGCACATAGATTACATTTTTGATTCAAGCAATTTCTTAAAATTGGTTCACAGGGAAGCAAAGATCAACTAAAAGAGGTATGGGAAGAGACTGATGGATTGGATCCTAATGACTTCGACCCCAAGACATTTTTCAAGCTACATGGTAACAGATTTGATACAAATATTGCTCTTTATATTTGCTATTTGAAAAGATTATACTTGCTTTACTCTTCATTGATTTCTGCCATGGTCTGCTATTGAGTCCTATATATAGTAAATACTTAGTTATCTCTCTAGGTTAATATTATGGTCATTTTTACTGATAAGCAGAATAAAATATTTTAGATAAAAAGCCATCTTTCTACCTGTTTTTACTATTGAGTCATTGTATAACTTTTTGCAAGATTCTTTGTAAACTGAAGGTAATTCTGTGGCTAGCTAGCTTATATCTAACAGGCTTTATACTATAATGTTAAAATTTACTTTTACAGCATATTGCTTTACTTTATCTTGTTGGAAAAAATGGTTATGTTTTTATGAAAATGATGAATTATAAACATTGAATTGTTATCTGAAGCTGCACGAAAAAGAAGATGCCCTTCTCTGCAGTATATTGTTGTTTCATGTCTCTACTGCTTTTACAAGCCATGTGTTCAGTAATTGTATTTTAAGTACTTATTTTCCAAGGGATTAAAATCCATTTCTGCTTCTGTAACTTTTAAACTTTAGATGTCAATAATGATGGGTTCCTGGATGAACAAGAATTAGAAGCCCTATTTACTAAAGAGGTAAATGAGTTTATTAAGTACTCAGTGTTCTTGCTTTTTTTTCTTTTTTTAAATCTTCTCTTCTTTCATGTTGGCCTTTAAATTTTATTTTTAGTTGGAGAAAGTATATGATGCCCAAAATGAAGAGGATGATATGGTAGAAATGGAGGAAGAAAGACTTAGAATGAGGGAACATGTAATGAGTGAGGTATGTTTTAAAAGTTTAAGAGTGTATGTTGTTTCTTTGGATTATTCAAGTTTTTGCAATAAATATTCCCATAAAATGAAAAAGTAAAGATAGAAAGTAGGTATTTAACTGGATTTTGCTTTTTTTTCAGAATATTATGCTAGATTCCCTAAGTTTAAATAACATAATTTGAAACTATTTTTAAAAGATTAAGATGCTATTGCATATGAACTATAAGATCTTTTTTTTCTTTTCTTTTTTTTTAGTAATATGAAACAATGAAGCTCAACATTTGGCATTTTAAAAACCTACATTAGCTTTTACAGGTTGACCACTCAATTCAAAAATCCAAAATAAAGAATACTTCAGAATTCAAAACTTTTTGAGCACTGATAAGATTCTATAAATGGGAATTTCATACCATGAAACTTTGTTTCTTGTACCAAATTATTTGCAAAATTGTATAAAATTACCTTCAGGCTGTGTATAAGGTGTCTATGAGACATAAATGAATTTCATGTTTAGACTTGGGTCCCATCCCCAAGATATTTCATTATGTATGTGCAAATATTCCAAAATTCAAAGAAATCTAATATCACAAACACTTCTCATCCCAAGCATTTTGGATAAGGAATACTCAACCTATACTAAGAAAAATCACAAAATACCAACACATTAATGGCTTGCAATAATAAATATTTATTTCTTGTTAATATTATATAAGCTTTAAAGGTTAATGTCAGATAGGTATGGCAGGGTTAGGCTGGCTTGGCCAAGTCTGGCCCAGCTAGGCTCGGCTCTACATGTCTTATCATTTCTAGGCTGCAGGAATGGTCTCTATCTGGGTCTTATCTGGATCATAAGAAACTCCAAGTCAAACTCTGTATTACTTAAGACTTATGTTCATCTAGGGTAAACCTCACATTTACTTATTATAGCCCCTTGACTGAAGCATGTCTGGGTCAAGTCCCCAGTCAGTGAGAAGTGGATGTATATCTCTTACAGGATGGTTCAGCAAGTCATGTGCCACTGGGTGGAGGTGTATAATCCTACTACAGGAGGGAGCAATAGCTGGGAACAATAGCCCAAACCAACCAGGGTCTTAAAATTTTAATTTCTGTCCTTTCAAAGCAACTAGCCATATTTTTTAAAAATATATTTTTAGTTATAGATGGACACAACACCTTTACTTTATTCATTTTTTACGTGGTGCTAAGAATCTAACCCAGTGCCTCACATGTGCCAGGCAAGCATTTTACCACTGAACCACAACCCTGGCTCCAACTAGATATTTTAAATTTGCCTGTTCAGTGAGTTTCTTCCCCCTCCAAATTAGGTGTCAGACCATGATGCATGCTTCTTATTAAATAGATGGTGGATGAGGCCCTTTGCAAATAGAATGATGATTATCTAAGTACATCACTTGTAATAACTACTAAGTTCATAGCCCTGTTTTTTTTCTACTATATTGGGATAGTGGACCGTGGCTGGAGATTAATATGGAAACATGTTAACTTCAGTCTTCCAAGCACAGATTGCTAGCAGGCCCTCTGCTGGCAGTTGTATATTCCCCCTGAACATCCACTTCCCCACAATCAGAGTCTGACAGTATCGCATATTCTTCCCTCTCCTTATACCTTCAAAGACACTTCCCTTTCCTCCTTCTCCCCTCCCACTCCTCTCATTTTACTGAGAAAATAAAAGTAATCAAGAGAATTTTTTCATCTTTCCTCTATCAAATCTATCAGCCAATTTGCATCTGTATTATTTATTTTGTCTTGTCTTCTGTTAATTGTAGATAAACTTTTGTTTTTCTTTGTTGGTACTGGGAATTGAACCCAGGGGTGCTTTACCACTGAGCTATTTCTTATTTATCTTGATACAGGGTCTCACTAAGTTGCTGAGGCTGGCCTCAAACTTTTGATTTTCTTGCCTCAGCCTCCTTAGTCACTGGGATTAAAGACATGCACCACTGGACCCGACTGTAGATAAACTCCTGCTGTTCCTATGGAAGGCCTTCTCTACCTGTGCATGAGGTCCCATTCAGTATCTCCTCTTGAAGGATTTTGTTCTTGCTGTTATCCTCCTTTCGCTCTTGCATAGTTTTTCCTACTCTATTAGATCATTCTTATTAGGAGACAAACATGACCTAGTATTTTTCACCTTAAAAACAAAACCATACTTGAACTTATTGCTGCCTTTCCATTCTTTCCTTCACAGCAAATTATTCTGTACAGTTGTTTAATCTTCCTGTTTCTGTTATTCCTCACCTTTTGTTTTCTTCACAATCTGTGCTGTAGCCTTCACTACTCCAATGAAATTTTTCTTGTCAGATGACCAATTCAGTTGTCTGAACTTACTTGACTCTTGTGTTTGATACAGTTGATGCTTCACTCTTTCTTGAAATGCTTTCTTTTTTTTTTTTTTTAGAGAGAGTGAGAGAGGAGAGTGAGAGAGAGAGAGAGAGAGAGAGAGAGAGAGAATTTTTATTATTTATTTTCTAGTTCTCGGCGGACACAACATCTCTGTTGGTATGTGGTTTGAGGATCGAACCCGGGCCGCACGCGTGCCAGGCTAGCGCGCTACCGCTTGAGCCACATCCCCAGCCCGTTGAAATGCTTTCTTTACCTGGTGTTTTAGTCAGCTTTGTGTCACTGTGATCAAAATACCTGACAAGAACAACTTAGAGGAAGAAAAGTTTATTTGGGTTTCAGAGTTCTCAGTCCATAGATGACTGGCTCCATTGCTCTGGGCCTAAGGTGAGGCAGCACATCATCGAGGAAGGGCCTAATGAAGGAAAATGGCTCAGCTCATGTTGGGGTCAGGAAGCAGAGGGGAGGGAAAAGGAACCACAGGGAAGCTGCATCTTTCCGGAAAAGCCCCCAGTAACCTACTCCAGCCATGCCCCACCTGCCTACAATTACCACCCAGTCCGTCCATTCAAACTAGCATGGACTGAATAGATTACAGCTTTCAAAATCAAATCATTTTACCTATGAGTATTCCTGCATTGAGCTTTTAGGGGGTACCCCATATCTAAACCATAACCCTTGGCCTTTGGGGAACCACACCTCCTTATACTCACTTGCTCTTTCTTCTCAATTTTCCTTGCTGTCTGTCCCTCTTCTTCCCAAGTTTTAAATGTTGCAGTGCCTTGAGCTGTGTTCTCCTTTCTATCTTCTCTTTCCTTAGGTGATAAATGGAGTCCTGTGTCTCTGTGTATGCCCTGGTGAATTCAAAATTATTAATCACCAGTTTTTCCTTTTTCTGTTCTCCAGGCTTATATCTGTTTGACCTTTCCCATTTCATGTTTAATGCACTTCTTCACCATAACCAGGCCTGTTCCTCCATCAGCCTTATTCATTTCAGTGAATGAAGTATGATTTATCTGGTTGCTCAAGCTAAGTCATTCTTAATTTCTCTTTCTTCATATCCTACAGCTAGTCTTCATTGATCTCCCTTTTGAATAAATCTGGAATTTGACCACTTTGTCCTGTGTATACTTTCCTAACTGGTGCTGGGATATAGCTCAGTTGATAGAGTACTGTGTGAGATTCTGGGTTCAATTCCAAGTATTTCTTAAAAAAAAAAAAAAAAAAAAGGCAATCTCCTGGCTAGTATCTCAGCTTCTGCATCTTAACTGCAATCACTTACCCACACAGCAGTACAGATGGCAGAGTAATCTCTTAAAAGCATAAATTAGGGTTTGGAATGTAACTCAGTGACAGAGCACTGCACTAGGCCCTGGTTGCATCCTTAGTACCACAAAGCGGGAGCGGAGAAAAGCATAAGTCAGGTCATAGTGTTCTCTTACTCAGAATACTTCAGTGGCTTGCTGTTTCACTTAGAAGATGAGTCCTGTCTCATGTTGTAATGGTCATGGCATGATTTCACTCACCCTTGCCTTGCTCTCTGATCCCATGTCTCGTGACTTTGTCACACTCTACTCTGTCTACATTGGTCTTCTTGGTGTTTACCTCTCACCAAGGTTATTCTCATTTTAAGGCATATGAACTTAGAAGTTTCTTCTTCCTGGAACATTTTGCCTAGATCATCTCCTGGGCTCACTTTTACCAGATTTATTCTCAAGGGTGCTCAAATGTTCATTCTTTAGAAAGACCTCCATGACCCTCCTAATGAAATATTTGCCCTTTTTTTGTGGTGCTTGTCCTGCCCCTCCTCCTTCCAAGATAAAAACTTGTGATATGGGCATCATATGATGCAGGATTACTAAAGCCCACTGTTTGACTTCAGTGATTGTCACCTGAATATATGAGCTATTAATGATGAATTGGGATCTTTGTTTCTTGGAAGTACCTCAAATATCAAATGAATTTCCTTGACTATTATAAAGTTAACCTTTGTAACTGAATTTGCCAGTCTGTATCAGTCATTAAGAGGATTTGGAGAAATAGTCAACTTTAGTTTTAATTTAGTTAGTTGTTTCTTTTTAAGAAAAAATGTTGTGAGTACTTTTTCCCACATTTTTAAAATTTGTACCTTATAGTCATACATTATGATGGATTTGCTGTTATATATTCATATATGCATATAACACACAATAGGGACTACTTTAATTAAACTCTTTTACACATGGCTAAAACAATACTCATTTGGAATGGTGATTTTTCTTGCCCAAGCATTTGATTTTTAGGAGGATTATAGGTATTTGGTGACAGAATAAGACAGTAGCACTTAACCAGTCAGATTAGCTGACTCAAATGTTTTGATCTTTGGGTATATAGATATCTTGTATTTTAAAGTTTCATTCGTACAGGATTGAAAGGTATTTATTTCCTAATTCTATTATAATATTGAGTGTTTTTTTTTTCTGTTTTCTGTGGAGGTTAGGGCAGTCCTAATTTTTATATATTATGTAGTAGCCTCCTTTAGAAGATAGTTTCTTCTAATAATAAAAGAAACATTAAATAATATAGAAATATTTATTTTGTATTATACATATGTTTTTCTTTAATCAGGTTGATACTAACAAAGACCGACTGGTGACCCTGGAAGAATTTTTGAAAGCTACAGAAAAAAAAGAATTCTTGGAGCCAGATAGCTGGGAGGTAATAGAATCTACTTCAAATAGAAAGTATGGTTCAAGAAAGTCTTCACCAGTTTATTCAACTTTTAACTTTTGTTCCTTATTGTGTTTGCTGACTTGGTTTTTTATATAAAATGTCACTATAAAATAATGAACCTGATTCTTGGAAAGCTTGAAGTAATGGATCTGTTATGTATTAGCACATTAAAAATAATTAGAAGTCTTTATAAACATACTTCTTACTAAATATAAAATGATATACATTATTAAAATTTAAAAATATAGATACATTTAAAGAATAAATTAGAAGTTACTAGTAATTCTGTTATTTAAATGTAAACATTTAAATTATGCATTCTATTATGCCAATTTGGAATAGTACACAGCTCATGTTATGTAGCATATATGTAAACAGTGTATTATGCTATTCTTAATTTATAGATACACATATATTCACATTTATGTATTTTTTTATTTAAAGAATTTCCTTTTTTCTCTTATTATTAGTTGTTCAAATCATTACATAGCTCTTAAAACATTTATGTATTTTTAAAAATGTTTTTGTTTTATAAATGACTATATGTTCATGAAGTACTGCTTTTTATTTGATAATACTTCATGAACATTTTTCATTGTGATTTTCCAAAAACATGATTTAAAAACAACTAGTTGGGCTGGGTGTGATGGTGCATGCCTATAATTCTAACAGCTCAGGACGATGAGACAGGAAGATTGAAAATTCAAAGCCAATCTCAGCAACAGGGAGATGCTAAGTAACTCAGTGAGACTCTGTCTCTAAATAAAATACAAAAATAGGACTGAGGATGTGGCTTAGTGGTTGAGTGCCCCTGAATTCAATCCCTGGTACTACCCCCCACAAAAGAAATAACTACTTAACATATGGTTGTGTAGTTACAGCATAATTTATATAACCATTCCTCCAGGTTTATATGTTTTAGGCAAAATTTAATATTTTACTATAATAAATAATAGTATTATAGTTATCCATTTAATTAAACATTTGTGGGCAAACTGTGATGATTTCTCTGAGATTAATTCCCATGAATAGAACTATTCTCAAGGTTTCTGAAAACTTTTAGTTTCTCAATATATCTTGCCACATTGATTTAGAAAAGTATACCAATTTATAACTATATAAATGTGTATATACACAATATCAAAAGAATACTTGGGAGATATCAACCAAAATAAATCAAAGAAAGAATGTTGTGTTTTTTACATAAAAATAAAAATTGTCATTTAAATTATGTTTTTAATTGTCCAGAAAACAGGGTAGGGTGACTAACTGTTCTGGTTTACCCAGGACTGAGGGGTTTTCCACGATATGGAACTCTTCATTGATAAAACCAGGCAGCTCTAGACAAATTGGAGCTCAAATGAATACATAAGTATATTTTTCTTATTTTCCATTTTTTTACCCAAAATATGTAATATTATAAATATATTTTTGTACTAATCATAAAATTTAGAGCTGAATCAGACTTGGTTATTTCTAAGATTATTTTTTCCTCATTTTCTTTTTCTTTTAGACATTGGATCAGCAGCAGTTCTTCACAGAGGAGGAACTAAAAGAGTATGAAAATATTATTGCTTTACAAGAAGATGAACTTAAGAAGAAGGCTGATGAACTTCAGAAACAAAAAGAAGAGCTGCAGCGTCAGCATGATCAGCTTGAGGCTCAGAAGCAGGAATATCATCAGGTGGTATTTTGTGAAAGGATTATGACATTTGAATGATTGCTAGGGATTGGGAGTGTGGTGCAGTGGTAGAGTGCATGCTTGGCATGCATGAAGCCCTGGATTTCATCCCCACCTAGCACAGCAAAATAGCAAAAACAAAACCAAAAATAAGCGGGCATGGTGGCCCATGTCTGTAATGCCAGCAGATTGGGAGGTGGAGGGAGGAGGGTTGCAAGTTCAAAGCCAGCCTCAGTAATTTATCTAGGCCCTAAGCAACTTAGTGAGACCTATCTCAAAATAAAAAGAATAAAAATAAAAAAGGCTAGGCCACCATACCTGGCCCTTAAACTTTTTTTTTTTTTTTTTGGTGGTGCTGGCCACTGAATCCAGGGCCTTGTGCATATGAGGCAAGCACTCAAAGGGAAGGGAGGGGAGGGGAGGAGGAATGGGGGCAGAAAAGATGGTGGAATGAGATGGACATCATTACTCTAGTACATACAGGAGTGCACATATGGTGCGATGCTACATCACGTACAACAAGAGAGATGAAAAGTTGTGCTACAATTGTGTACAATGAATCAAAATGCATTCTGCTGTCATACCTAATTTAAATAAGTAAATTAACTAATTAAAAAAGGCCTGAGGATGTTGCTCAATGGTTAAATGCTACCGGGTTCAAATCCTGATACCAAAATCAAACCAAAACAAAACAAAAAATAGATGTTAGGTGCTTTGCTAAAGCCTGTGTTTTTGTAAGATCCTTTTTCAATGTACTATTAGCTATTGTATTTTAAATTTTAGTATTTAAACAATTATTTTGTACAATATTAATCTAAATTTTATAGTTTGAAAACAATTTTCAATTAGTTTTTGATGCTTTGTCAAAGGTCACATATATGTAAAAAGTCAAATAATTCTTACTTTAAATATTTTCTTTTTCCATTCAACAGGCCATTCAGCAGATGGAACAGAAAAAATTACAACAAGGAATTGCTCCATCAGGAACAACTGGAGAGTTGAAACCACGTATGTAATTTTGTTTATTTTTTAGGAAAATACACCACTATAAATTTCAATCCACATTTATTACAGATAGAGTATAATTTTAGATCTTTAAGATTTATGGTTTTTATATATTTGTAGAAATTGATAAATTTGCATCACAGAAAAATGAAAGTCCTTCAAAAATTTTATGCATCAGCATTTTTGAAATGCTGTATAATTTGATAACCACATTTATGGTGAAATGATTTATTTCAACATTATTAATAATTTTTTCTAATCAAGTATATTGATCTTACCAAAGTATGTGTTTTTAAATTGTAATCTATGATTCACTAAACATTTTTAAAAAGACTTGTTAAATCTGTAAATAAAAGAATATTCAGAATAAAGGAAGATATGTTTAAAATGAGAGCATATTTCTTTTGAACAGACACTTAAAGTTCCGAAGTCCACCAGAACTTGGAAGAAACCTGTTAACATCTGTTTCATCTTTTTACCTCCTTTCCTTGTTCTCCGCTCAATAAATATTTTAAAGCATATTCAGAATAAAGGAAGATATCTTTAAAACAGGAACACATGTTTTTGGACACAGACATTTAAGAATAAATCTACCATAACTAGGAAGAAAACACATTCATCATACCTCCCTTGTCTTCCCCTTGTTCTCCTTTAGTTTTTAAGTGGCCTCATGCCAGAATTTAATGAAACTATTATTAAGTGAGAAAGGTCTACCTACTGCTTTGAAAATAAATAGCTCTCACTTACTCATAAAGATAGATATTCTTTTATGGGTGCTTATTATCCCTTCTTTCAATAAATGTCTTTTTGATATTATAAATTATTCTGAAAAGACCATACTATTCTCCAGAGTTTCCTGATAACTTTTGCCTATTTTTAGCAAAAACTGCTGGAAATTCTTAAAATGAATAGCTTTTTCTACGAATTCAAGTTAGTTTTCATTTGTATTTTTTCTGTATACTTTATCATTTAAGATTAGGTTCTGTTATTTATAACAGAAAAACCAAAGATTATAGTGTTTTAAACTAAATAGAATTTCCCACCCCTTACATAGAAGAAATCGAGAAGTAGATGGCTCTAAAGTTCCTGTCTTCCTCAGTGTGTGATTTTTATCCTCAAGCTACCTCGGCTTTCACTGAGATTGCTGTTGGTGTCTGTGGGGAAGGGCAAGGAAAGACTTTCCTCAGTTGAATCATCTTGAGGCAATTTTCTACAACCAGCAGCACTTAAATTTACATCTCATTGGCTAGAACTAAGTCACATAGCCAAACCTAGCTGGGGAGGCTGAAAAGTCCACACAGTAATGTAACTATCTAAAAGTTAGGGTTTTACTAAGAAGAAGGAAGGAGGAAGTGTTTGGTAGACAACTTATAGTTTTAACCTGAATCAGTCTAGCTACTGAAGTCTCTCTATATATTCTTTTTCTGAGACAGAAAACACTCCTCCCATCCCAAAGAGAAACCACCAGAAATCTACTCCATCATTACATATTGGTTCTAAGACCATCATAGCTGGGTGTTTTCCCTTTCTTCAGATTAGGTTATGGCTCCTTGAGTTATGACCACCTACTAACTGAAGGGCAAGTTTACTGCCCCCAAAGCACCACACATAATGCATAGGTGTAGGGAAATAGCAAAACAAACAAACAAACAAACAAGCAAATTAGCTTCTAGAAAAAGAAAGAATTGGAAATATAACGGACACCGATCCCTAGCAATTAAAAAGTACTGCTTGGCAAGAATAGTAATGTCTGCTGTGATCATGGATATATTCCTTATTTTGCCCTTCAGGTAACCCCAGTTCACTTTTCTGAGAGGAAGTCCCTTATTTTAATGTCCTCAAGTCCTTGGCTTTACCCTATAGGAGGCTTTTATTGACCATTAGTTTTCAGGGACATGTCTGCATGGGAATTGGAAACTGGAAGGTCTTAGAAATTCACTTCCTACTATTATGGGCTTGGAGGTGCCAGGATCGTTTTAGATAGTTAATAGCTACAGGCTGTTGCAAGCTAGTTTGGTTGTTATTTGTTATTTTGACTTTTTGGCCAAATAGTTCTCCTCAAACTTAAGAAGTTTCTGGGTTTTTTTTCCCCCTTCAGTTATTTCCATGAGTAACCCCAATCAAAGACATTTTTAACTTAGTTAAAAACGTTTTTTAAGAAAGAACCTCTTTATTTACTTGCTGGCCTCTGTGCTCTTTCCATCTCTTTGGTCTTAAACAAATGATACCTACTTGAGACCCTTTCAGACTATAGTCTTGGGTGGGATGGCAGCAGTCTTAATTTGATCTTTTCTCTGAGAATAGCTTCTATTACTAGGCAGAAAAAAAATTTTTTTTTCTCAGTCTTGGGGATTGAATCCAAGAACACTCTACCACTGAATTAACCCTTGGCCCTTTTTATTTTTGATTTTGACATAAGGTCTCCGTAGGTTGCACTGGCAGGACTCAAACTTATGATCCTTTTGCCTCAGCCTCCTGAATAGCTGGGATTATAGGCACATGCCTGGCTGGCAGAAAATTCTTAAGAGAAGGTTCTTGAAAAAGGTTAGCAGCTTCCTCAGAGCCTTTACTGATATAACGGTTTCAGTTGGAGTGCAGTAGTAGTTGACTTTTTCAATTCAAAGAGACATAGATTTGGGGCTTTCTCAATTGATATTGTAGGCAGAGAGAAGTTCCTGCAGCAAAGCTGTCTTGTATCTGCAGACTTGTGAATCTTAGCCTGAGTTGCATTTATCTTGTATGCTTGGCAAGAAGCAGTCAGCACATGATAGCCTTCTGAAGTCCTACCACTACCTTGTCAGATACCTTAACCTTGGTTGGCAGGTCATCTCATTGCCCAAAGTTCTATTTCCTCAACTATTCCATTCCCCACCTTCTGACTTTTTTTTTTTTTTTTTTTTTTTTGGTGCTGGGGATCAAATCAACTGAGCTATGAACTCAGTGCCAACCCCATATTTAAGGTGCTTTTACTTGCTGCACTTTACTTTTAATTTTTACTACCAAATTTTTTAATACCAAATCCTGTCTTTGTCAAGATTCTTGGTTGTAGTTAGTGGGATCTTCCTTCAGAAGATTATTCTGTATCTTTAAACAGAGGGTATTGATTAAGGAGTGTAGATAGCTCACAGAATCTTTGGGAGATTCTCAGATATCTTCTGAAGATACAAACCTAGGCTGAACTTCTAGAAACTACGTCACAACAGTGTACCTTCAAAGGAGCTGCTGCCTTTGGAACAGTCAAGAAGCTGCTTGCCAGATCAGGAAGCCACTTGCTGGGTTAGAACATTGTGAATAGTTGCCAGCTCCAGAACCACACGACCTCTGCCATGCTCTGTGCCGGGAAAACGGATACCTCCTGTTCTGCTTCTCTCTCCATGTAACTCTGTTCAGAGGAAAACCTCAAGTGAGTGCTCCTGATTGATTGCACCAATTGTATCTGGAACCCTCACTATAAGGGAGTCTGGGAATTAACAGTGTTTGACTTTCCTACCTCTGTGTTACGAGAATGCATGTTAAAAGCAGGTTGAGCCAATCCACTCTAGAGCCTTATGATTTTTACATTATTTCTCTTAACATTAATCATTTTTAAAAATTATTAGTCCTCATTTTAAGGATTTTAAAATAATCATTCATTCTGCTTGAAACATACCATAGACTTTCTTCCCCTTAAATCATCAATCTTAAAATTAAATATAGCAATTTAGAAAAGTTCTTTATATACTGCCTATAAGCACACATACATACAGAAACTACTCAGTATAGTAATAGCCTCTGTGTCTTTAAAGATGGAGCAGGATTTCTATCTCTATTGTTTAAATTGTGGGCAATGTAGAAAGATGGTTTGAAGTAATCTTTCATAGATGACTTGTGTGACTAGTGATAAGATCGGTATTATCTTGGTAAACTTCTTTAGATGGTGAATTGGGGTTAAAGTGGAAAGTAATTGAAAGAGAACTTTCTTTTGATGATTTTTTGACATGAGAATAATGAATGGATATTAATGTAGACATATCATTAGCATAGGTAGTTAGCTAAGATGAGCAGGAATAAGAGAAACAAGAGGGAACATCTGTAAAAAGACTCCTGACTGACGATTGACCCAGAGGACTTAATAGCCGTCATGTGATGCCACAAGGACATAATTCATACCTGTTCCACCCCTTTTGTGTGAGGGGGCTATAGAAGAAATCCATCTAAGGAAGATGGGAAGACTACTCAGAGTCACTGAATAGTACCATTGACTATGCTCTTTCCCCATATTCCACAAAAGGACATGTCACACTCCTCCGTAGATTGATGAGCACACATCATGTTCCTAGGATTGGGCATGCACCTGCAAGCTGCTCCAAGAATCAGCTGACCTTTATAAAAACTTCACCCATGGTGCTAGGCCAGAGAGAGGTACTCCAGTACCTCTTTTATAGTACCTTTGCCCTCAATTTTTACATAGTGCAGCATATGACTTCCCCCTAATGGGCAGCAGCTGAACAAGGAACCAGCCTAAAGAAGTGTGCTTACTGCCACTCCAAGGTTTCACACCACTGCACCATATCCTAACAAAAGCCTGCAGCCTAACCATTGCTGTGCATTTCTGTCCCTAGCCAGTCTGCCCACCCCTCTTTCTAGGGTATCTCACTTTCTCTTTCCTTTACCTCACCTTGCAATAAACTTGCTCTAATTACCATCCCTGCCTTGTTGTACTTGTTTCTGTGCCAGGCCAATTTTCCTAATCATAGGTATTATACCCAAAGACCCAGGGTCACTCTATAGTTGACTTTCAGCCTCTGGTAACAACATCTCACGGTTTCCAGCAAATTATAATAATTTATATTATTCAAAAAAGAATTGTGAAACCTAAAATTACTTATGGACTTAAGTAATTCCAGTTCTGGGCATTTATGACTGAATGTTACTTCTGAGAAAATTGCAAATATTGTTCTTTATAGTTAATAGAAAATATTGGAGAAAAAAAGTATTGGGGCTAAATTTAATGTATGACATTGTATTTGTTTCTTTAGATGTTAAATAGCTTTGGCTTAGCTAACTAAGTGGTATGTATTAGTAATTTTGAGTTTTATGTATGAATTTTCCTGAAACATAAATTTTATAGTACCCTTAGGTATATATTATTAAATTTGATTTTAGACAGGTGCAGTGGCTCTACCTGTTCCAGTCATTTGGAAGAGAAAGTGAGGTAGGAGGATTTTTTGAGTCTAGGAGTTTGAAGCCAGATCGGGCAACATACCAAGACTCCATCTCAAAAAAGAAAAGAGCTGGGTGCAGTTGAAGCATAACTTTAATCCCAGCGATTTGGGAGGTCGGGGCAGGAGGATCACAAGTTCAAGGCCATCCTCAGCAATTCAGTGAGACCCTATTTCAAAACAAAAAAAGGATGGGGGATATAGCTTAATGGTAAAGTGCCTCTGGGTTCAATCTATAGTACCCCTCCTCCCCCCCAAAAAAAGAAAAAAAAATTTGATTTTAAAAAAGATCGTTATTCCTTAGACTTATTTATTCATTTTTAGTGTTGAGGATGGAACCCAGGGCCTTATGCATGCTAGGCAAATACTCTATCACTGAGCCACATCCTCACATAAAAACTTTAATTCTTTCTAAGTGAAATAAGCCAGTCCCAAAAAAGAAAGGCCAAATGTTCTTTCTGATATGTGGACACTAATCCACAACAAGGGAAAATAGGGAAGGGAAGAATAGAAGTCCATTGGATTAGACAAAGGCAAACAAAGGGAAGGGAGTGGAGAGGGGAATAGGAAAGACAGTAGAATTAACTGGAACATAAATTTCCTGTCCTTATATTTGAACACACGATCAGGGTAACTCTGCATCATGTACAACCATAAGAATAGATCCTAATTAGAATTTGTTAAACTCTATGTATATATAATATGCCAAAATATACTTTACTGTCATGTATATCTAAAAAGAACAAATTAAAAAATTTAAAAAAAAGCAGTGGTTAAAATAAGTTCCTTTGAGACATGGCCATATATTTTTTAACCAAGATTTGCTTACAATAGCATTATTTTCATGATAATGAACAGATTTATATTTCCATAAGCCTAAGTGCAAATCTTTTTTCACATATAAGAGAGTGTTAGTATTTTATGATAATGTGATTTTAAGAAATCTGTTTTTTTTAGGGCAAATTTTTGAGAAGCCCGGTTTGGTTAGTACATAAATTTTAATCTTTATCTTATAGCTGTGAGGTACAATCAAGAAGAAATTTAAAAAGAACCAGAATTAGATGATGAAGTTCATCATGTTCATGCAAGAATTTTATCCTCTGAAGAAACTGCTGAAGAAGTCTACCTTCACTCTTTAACCACTGGTGCCTCAACTAAATACTTTTTAAATTCACAGATTTTGTTGAAATTGGTAACTGAGGTATTAAAATGCAAAGTTTGCTTTTTCCTTCCTTGTGGATGATATAATCGAGACAGCAATGAGAACCTACTTTCTGAGATGTGGTATTTGAAGACAATTAGATCCTATTTTTGCTTTTCTTTTTTAAAATACAAAATATTATTAATAGAATCCAAATCTTTCCTTACCCACTTTTAAAATTATTATTATTATTTTTAATTTTTAATTGTTGATAGACCTTTTTTTTTTATTTATATGTGGTGCTGAGAATCGAACCCAGTGCCTCACACATGTTAGGCAAGTATACCACTGCTGAACCACAGCCCTAGTCCCTTAATTTTATTTTTTAAATGAGTGATTATCTATGAATTCATAAACATTGCTTAGGGAATCCAAGTACTGAGCCAGAACAAGCAGCAATAGCAAATGGCAAAGACACCAGATTGAAAAATCTGGATTTACAGTTCAAGAGCTGCCAACCTGTTTAATGAACTAGCAAAACAAAACCAATGAAGCTTTTGATTTAATTGTAGGAATTTAAGGGTTATTCAAATATTTCCCAGAGAACTACATAGAAGAACAACTGCACTTCATGTTTACAGGTATTTATAATTTTCACAGAGCTCTTAGTAAACATTTTAATTGATGTCAGTCATGTGCCCAAGGAGGATGAATGTCTCAGCTTGATTATCAGCTAGCTCTTGACTGGATACTTCTCCCTACATAATCACCCATTTGGTTGCCGTCAAAGCTCTGCATTCCTCTGTAAACAAGTTTTGTTTTGTTATAATCTCTTGTACACAATGGGTTTGACTTTTGCTGTGCAAATTTGCTTATCTTATTTTATATTTAGTACTATGTATATTTGCCTGGCCTTTCCAGGTTTATGAATATATATACTCAAAATTAAAGTGTTAAAATATTTATTTTCCAATTCTTAAGATTTTGCTACTCAATGGAATTTTAAAATAAGTAACAAATTTATTTTCTACATGATTTCAAAGTTATAACCTGTCCAAATGATTTGATTTAAAAATGAGAGAAAAAAATTCATCTAGTTTTCTTTGCCATCTCCCATGAAGCATTGTAGTTAACATGTTATGTTTTTTCTAGTCCATTTTAAATGTTCAGTTTTAGTGATGCCAAAGTATGTGCCATTATATTAAGTTCCTGCCCTCACTTAGAGAATCCTTATGTATGGTATATGAAACATACAACCCGGATATCCTGATTTTCTATCATATCGCTGTATCTATATTGCTGTTCAGTATGACTCTTCAATTGACTTGAGTTTGCTTTACTTCTTACCCTTTCTGTTCTTGGTGGTGTTGCTTTCTAAATATTTTCTTATTCAAGCGGTAATGTATAGATTATTTCATTTTTAAAACATATTTATCATGTCCTTTAATTTTTTACACATTTTAATGGTAGTATTGAAGCATTTTGCCAAACACGATCATTTAAAACCTCTACCAACTTTGTGTAGTGATTTCTTCTTGTTCTGTAGCATTGAATAGTATATTTTACAAGTTTGTCTTACTTTATTTCTTTGACTAAATCTCAGCTGTAATCCTTTGTGCATTTCTTATTTCTCTTGGTGTTTGTGTGTTTTTATTCTCTTTGAGACTCATTGTATGTTTCATTGAGATTCAAAGCTGATTTGGGGAGAAAGAAAAGCACCTCTGTAGATAGGTCAGCTTTTTTGAGCTGGCTAGGCAAACAGGCAGTTCTTCCTAAGTGGGTTCTGCCCATTGGAGAGCACTTCTCACCCTGCAAGAGAATCTCTAATTCATTGCATGCATCTTCTACTCCTCACTCCTCCTTGACAGAGTAAGCCAGCTATGGATAGATATGTAACAGACTGTGATGGATGTCCCTTGCTCAATTCTTTTTTTTTTGTACTCTTTTTAATAATAGTTTTAAAAATAAGCAAAAGCCCATCTACTGTAATTTTTATACCCCACCAAATGTTCTCTGTAATATCATTAATAAAGAAAAATGTTTTTTGGTACAGAAAAACCAGGACATGAATTGGGCAATCTCTGATTAGAAAAGAAGTAGCATAGTGTGTTTTTTTCATTTTCTTTTTTTCATATTTTTATTGGTGAGTTATGTTATTCATAATGATGGGATTCAGATTCATTATTACATATTTGTACATGGACACCATAAGCATAGTATGTTGTTTCTTCATTACATTTGATGACCCAAGTTTCAATCATGTTCTTTTTCTTCCTAGGCACTCTCCCATTTTCACACCGCCACCCCCCCCCCCTTTTTTTGAGACAGAGTCTTACTATGTTGCCCAAACTGGCCTTGAACTCAAGATCCTTCAGCCTTAGCCTCCTTAGAAGGTGGCATTATATGCATGCACCACCACTCCTGGCTTATTTTCCCAGTTTTGTATTAACTTTTCCACTCTTGAATTTCTCATGTACTTCCTTATTATTGGAGAAAGTTTTAAGAGATACAGGATATTATAGCACCATTTTCAGACTTAAAATTTCATAGTAAGCTTCATGGGACTTATCACCAGGGCTTTCAGATAAATTCTCCTCATAATTCCAAGCCATTCATCTTTTCTCTAAGGGAGTTTGTTTTATTACTAATTAAGATATGGTAACTTTGTTTAAAACAAATTGATTTTTTGAAAGATTTATATAAAAGGTAAAAAAGGCTAAATATGTTATTCTAAGGAAAACAACTTGAAAAAGTCAGTTAATACCCAGAGCGACTGTTTCATTCTTCTGTGGTGACAGAGTTTTATCTGCGCCTCTCCTCCCAGTTCACAGCCTAAGAATTGAAAAACCTGGAGTCTGAAGATGAAGAAAGAGCCCCTCTTGAGTGAAGGCGGGTCTTCTGAAACCAAGATCTTTTAGTACACATAAAAGTCATAAGCTCTTGTAACTCTAAAAATAGCTTCTGATTAAAGATCATTTTTTGGATGGAATATGTGTATTTATGTGAAAGCTTGTACCTAAAATAAGTTTGAATAGAAGACCATACATTGTCTTTCGAAATTAAAACAGGAAAAATGATTTTTTTCATTATTGCTTTTCATTTTAATGATGGAAACTAGTGCTGTATAATGCATATTTTTCCAATATTATGCTTTAACACCCATTTAATAAGATGATTTATACATCCCATTTTAAAGTCAGGCTTTTAAATATCTTTTTAATGTGTGTGTGTGTGTGTGTGTGTGTGTGTGTGTGTGTTGAGTGTGTGTATATATCTATATATAAAAAATTCTTTTTTTTTTTTTTTTGGTTGTAGATGAACACAATGCCTTTATTTTATTTATTTTTATGTGGTACTGAGGATTGAACCCAGTGCTTTACACATGCCAGGCAAGTGCTCTACTACTGATACAACCTCAGCCCCTTTTGTTATTACTAATTTGGGGAAGAATTTTGCAAGTTTTTTCAATTTAAACGTTGAATTAAAAATATAACCTTTTGCTGGGTGTGGTGGCACATGCTTGTAATCCCAGTGACTCAAGAGGCTGAGAATGGAGATTCCAAGTTCAAGGCCAGCGTCACAAACTTAACCAGGCCCTCAGCAATTTAGTGAGACCTTGTTTCAAAATAAAAAAGGCTGGGGATGTAGCTCAGTTGTAAAGTGCCTCTGGGTTACATCCTCAGTACCCAAGAAATTATACACACACACACAAACACACACACATTTTATAAACGTGACTGTTAATTTTAAATTTTGAAAAAAAAAATCTACTACCTTGAAGATTAGATATAATTCTTCTTGGCTTATTTAGACATTTTAACTTTTTAATATTTTAAATCAACAATTGGATTTTAATGTGATACAGAATCAGACGATTTTATACAATTTTTGTTATGTTTGAATTCATTTTATGAATATATTGTAAAAATTATTCCACTGCAGTATTTATTAGAAAGTATTATTCTAGTTATCATTTATATAAGTTATTTTTAAATTATATTAAATGTAAAATCAAGAAAATATGTAGTATTTGTTTTAATTTTCTGAGGGAAAAAAATTGACAACATTGAAAAAATGTGTTGCTGGGGATGTAGCTCAGTGTTAGAGCACTTGCCTGAGATGAGGGAGCCCCTTGGTTCAGTCCCCAGCACCACAAAAAATAAGAAGATGCCTCTGGGTCTCACAGCGAGAGCCTCTAGCCACCCCTGCTCCCACTCACCTGGCCTTCTGGGTGCTCAAATCCAGAGGATGTGGAGTAGAGAGAATCAGATATGAAACAACCCTTACAGTGTTAATTTCTGCTTTCTTAAGGATCCAGGGGGGTGTAACAGTAACGTAAAAATAATGTGTCCTTTAATTTGTATCTTAGGACATTTAGACTAAAATAATGTAGGCTTGTTATATCCATTTGTCAAAGTAGGAAATGGAGGCTCAGGAAAGTTGGGTAAGTTCCCTAGTCACAAGGCTAATAAGTGGTGGCTGGGAACTCAGTCATTTAGGGTCCCTACAGCCCTGCCTCAGCACTCCCTGTCTCCACCTCAGGCTGGGATGCCTGGGCCTGTTGCCTACCAGATAGCAGTTTGGGTCTGTCCTCAGGCAAAGTTGTCCAGTAATATCATTGCCTCTTGTAAAACCTTGTCTCCATCCCCAACCCCACACCTGGCCTCTGGATCTCTCTGGTCCTCATTGTAACCTCTTCAATCTTGTATTGGCCTCTACTGGTCTGCAAATCCTAGGAATTATCCTAACTTTGCTGGGTGGGGTGAAGGCCCTGGTTTCTTAAGTCCTGCCCATGTGGAAAGTGACTACATTTACTGGCAACCACATTGTGGAGGCCAAGGTGGTATGAGCACGGCTGTGTATGTCTGACAGAGTCAAAGTACTGGATACAGTGCAAGGTGTGTCATTTGTAATGTGCACCCCTCTGTTATCACCATCCTTATGACCCTATTCTGTCTGCTGGTTTTCCTGGCCGGGACCAAGTGCACTACCTGTGTAGACAAGGACTTCAAGACCCACCTGGTGCTCATCTTTGGGATCAAATTTGTCATCTCTGGGGTCCTGATCCATTTTCTAGGATTTATACAGCCCCCTGGTGACCAAGGCCCAAAAGTGAGAGCTGGGGACCTCTGCTGCTGTATAGAGGATTGCTGTGCTGTACTTACCCTTCTAGAGAGTCCCAGGGTTCCAACAACTACCTAGCTGGCTATTTAGCATCTCTCCTGTATTATCCCTCTGGGGAACCCTCTGAGTACCTCACCAAAAATTATATCTGATGTTGGGGATGGAATGAGGGTTCCATTGGCTAGGGAGACTTGGTCCCGGAACTGGACCCATCAAGAGATGGTGATGTCTGACAACTTTGGGGTTCTGTTTTTTTTATTTTTAATTTTTCTTTTTGGTACCAGGACTTGAACCCAGAGCACTTAACATCCCCTTTATATATGTGTGTGTGTATGTATTTGTAGATGGACATCATACCTTTATTCTATGTATTAATATGTGGTGCTGAGGATCAAACCCAGTGTTTCACACATGCTGGGCAAGCACTCTACCATTGAGCGACAACCCTAGCCCAACATCCCCTTTTTTCATATTTTATCTTGAGACAGGGTCTCTCTAAGTTGCTTAGGACCTCACTATGTTGCCGAGAGTGGCTTTGAATTCAGTGATCCTCTTGTCTCAGCCTCTGGGATTACAGGTGTGCGCCCCCACGCCCAGTACTTTTTGCTGTTTTTATGGGAGAGGAGGAGGTATCTTTTAAAATCTGTTTGATAACTGAAATGAAAATGATCTAGACTTTTACCTGGGCTCTGCTGTTAACATTTCTCATCTTTGAATGATGGAGCCAAAGAGATAATGCTTGAGTGTTTAGATCTTTTTTCACTGTTAGCATACCCATTTTGAGAGCCAACCTGCAGCTCTGGAATCAATGTAGAGGCTGCTTGCTGCTCTGGCCTTTGTGACCACAGATGGTCTGCAAGAGTCCTGCTGCTGCTGGGTGCTTGAGTTTCCTTAGACTTGCAGGGATAGCTATACCCCTTCCTGGTGAGGCTTCTCTCCTCATCCTCAGAAAGTTTCATGATACATTACCAAAGGACTGTCCACCCTACCTTCTGACCACTGGCTCCTCTATCATTACCACATCTCCTCCCTGAGTCAGGTCCCAGCAGTGCCATAAACTCTCCACCCACACTTCCAATCCTGCACACTTTGCCTATGTCTGGCCCACATTCACACTCATGAGGTTTTACTAAATAAAACATGCTTTATTAATTTAAAAAAAGATAACAATCTGGGATCACACATTGCATTTAGTTGGGTATGTGTTTATTAGTGTGAAGGATGAAAAGTCCAAGCCTATCCAAAAAAGTTGCAATAATATTATAATGAGTTCTAATATGTCCTGTTCTCATATACTCTCTGAGTAAAATTCTTTTCTATGTTGAAACATTTCAGAACTAAGTTGAAGACATTCTGATCCTTTATCCTAAGTATGTGAGTGAACATTTATTTCTTATGAACAAGGACATTCTTTTATAATAATCACATAATTATTAAACTCAGGATATTTAACATTGTTACAATACAATGAATCTAACATAAGAGCCCTATTTGAATTTCACTA